AATAAACAGCAACAACAATAAACAATAACAACAATAACAAACAGCAACAACAATAAACAATAAACAGCAACAACAATAAACAACAACAATAATAACAATAAACAGCAACAACAATAAACAACAACAATAAACAATAAACAGCAACAACAATAAACAACAATAACAATAAACAGCAACAACAATAAACAACAACAATAATAATAACAATAAACAGCAACAACAATAACAACAATAACAACAATAAACAATAAATAGCAACAACAATAAACAACAACAATAACAACAGCAAATACTAAAATGGACTTGAATGAAACTTTATTGTTCCTTCATGGACGAACAGAGAAACAAACAGAGCAGTGATGTGACCTCAAAGCTACAACAGGAAGTGGAGCTGCTGATAAAACTTTATTGTTCTTTCCTGGACGAACAGTGGTGTGACCTTCAGGTGTGAAGCTGACTGATGAAGAGGACTTGACTGTTCTGCGGTGAACTCAGTCAGGTGATGAGCGCTGAATACAAACCAGATACACCACCCCTCCCCCACCTGCCCCTCCCCCATCCTCCATCAGCATGTAGAGAGGCTGCAGCCCGACTCAGCACTCCCCCTCCCCAGCATTCCCCCTCCCCTCACTGTCATTTATTCATGACCGCATGCAGAGAAGAAGAGGGGGGAGGGGCGTCCTGGTGTCTCCTCTTGTTGCTGTGGAAACCCCGTATCTCCCTGCTGTCAGTTTTTGGTCTGACGTCGTTCACTCGGAGGAAAAACCAACATCTCCACACTTACGAGGTCGTCAGCTAACATCAGCATCGACGTGAGCTCACCCTACTCCTGCCTGCAGCCAATCATGGCCTTCCTCAGCCTCCTCCTCCTCTCATTGGCTGAGGATGTCAACAGACTGATGTGGTTCACGTGCAGCGGCAGCAGGTCAGCGAACGCCTCATCAAGAGGAGGACCTCAACACTCCAGATGTGAGTGTACAGCTCTGGGACTCCGGGTCACTACGGCAACACAAAATATATAAATATTTATTCTAATGATGTGAATATTTATATTATTGTTAATATCATATTATCAATTTTGTATTAGTGATGTGGCAGTGAACAGATGAATGAACAGGAACATCATTCAGTCTCACTGCACACTGTTTGAGTTGTGGACCTGCATGTTAAATAAAGTTTTGTGTGTTTGAACAAAGCCTGTTGGCAGGGTCTGCAGGTGCAGCATTTACTGTCCCCTCGTTCATCTGGACTTCAGGTCTCCCAGGACTCGTTACCAGGCAACCAGCAGCTAGACACCACGACCGCTTTGTTCAGGAGACGAAAGAAAGAAAGAAAGAAAGAGAAAGACGGAAAGAAAGAAAGAGAAAGAAAGAAAGAGAGAAAGAAAGAAAGGGTCTGACCTCAGAGACAAATGTTCTGTTCATGATCCTTGTACCTTTAAACGTCTAGTTTCCAGTTTTAACAGAACTGTGACAGTTTGACGTGAAGTTCTGACTTCAGTTAAAGTATCAGCTTCAAAAGTAAAAGTGCTCATGGTGCAGAATGAGGCACGGCTGGATCCCGGCTGGATCCCGGCTGCAGTGTTTAGTGGTTCTGAGGTTTGCAGCAGCAGAAAACCTTCATCAGGACTTTGTGTTTCCATGAAACCTTCTCTGCTAAAAACCACTTTAACAGATGTTGTAGACCTGGTGTCAATGTCCTGCAGTGACTCCTGATCAGATGTGACCCAGCTGTTGGACCCTGTGACTGAAGGACTGACACTCCAGAAGTTACTCAGAGACTGACACTGAGACTTCAGGTTATTATTCAGTTCTGGAACCGTCCTGCAGGATGCTCAGTGGACCTACTGGACTGGTTGGACTGGAAACACTAATCTGTAGCTGAAACTCAAATCAAACACAAGCAGAGCTGACCGGCTAATCCCCCCCCCCCCCATCACAGAGCAGATTACTGAGTGATCAACCTGCTGCCAGAGGACGACAGTCTAAATACTAACTCTTTCTATCCTTCCTAACTCCTTCTGTCCTTCCTAACTCCTTATTTACTCCCCATCTTTCCTTCATTGACTCCTTTTTCCTTTTCTTGTGCCCTATTTTCTTTCCTTCTATACCTCTTTGTTTCCTTTCCTACTTCCCTTTAAACTGACCAGCTTCTCTTTCTCTGTCCACTTTGATCCTGTCTCCATGACAACTGGTGGGAGGTCATGAGGTCATCACTACTGAATAATGAGATGCAGCCAACACAGAGACACACACACTCCTTGACCTCTGAGCTAAAACAGTTGGGCTGCTCCTTTAACGTGTGTGTGTGTGTGTGTGTGTGTGTGTGTGTGTGTGTGTGTGTGTGTGTGTGTGTGTGTGTGTGTGTGTGTGCTCTGACTGTTAACTGTTATGTAACAGCTGATCCCTCAAACACACACACACTATTAACAGGTTATTAACAGTCAGAGAGGATGTGTGAGGAAAACAGATAAGCCTCTTTTCAGGAGAAGGAGGAGGAGGTAAAAGGAGGAAGATGAGGAGGAGGAGGTGAGAGGAGGAGGTGAAAGGAGGAAGATGAGGAGGAGGAGGTGAAAGGAGGAAGATGAGGAGGAGGAGGTGAAAGGAGGAGGTGAAAGGAGGAAGATGAGGAGGAGGAGGTGGAGGTGAGAGGAGGCAGAAGAGGAGGAGGTGAAAGGAGGAGGAGGGAGTGTGTATGACATCACAGGCTCTGATTGGCAGCAATGCAACAGCCTGTCACAGCCTCCAGGTGCATTGTGGGACATGAAGAGATGACCACAATCATTTAGAAAAAAGCTTGTTTAAGTCCCGTCACCATGGAAACCAACAAGCTGAGATTATTGATTCAGATCAAGATCAAGCTCCACCCCCTCCGGTCTGTGCAGTCACTGACAGCGCAGGAATGTGATTGGCTGTTCAGGAGAGAGTTATGCAATGGGGGTGGAGGGGTGGGGTGTAAGGAAACAAAAGAAGGATGGATGAAAGGTGGAGAGATAAGGAATGAAATAAGGAATGAAGGAAGAGAGATAAAGGAAGGAAAGGAGGAGAGGAAGGAAGGAAGGTCAGAAAAAGTTGAATAAACCAAAGAGGATGAGCACATTTATAGATGAGAGGAAAGACAGAGAGGGAAGGAAAAAAGACAGAAAGAGGAGAAACGAGAGGAAAGAAATGAAGAAAAGGAAGGAAAGAAAGAACGTAAAGAAGGAAAGAATAGAAGAAAGAAATGAGAGGAAGAGAAAGAGGAGGAAACAGGAGAAGGAAATGTAATCGGAAGGAAAGGTAGGAGGGAAGGAAGAAAGGTCACCACAAGAGGATGGAGGGAGATAAGGAAAGAAGAAAGGAAAGAAGGGAGAAAGGTAGTAGGGGATAAAGGAGGAAATTAGGAATAAAGGAAACGAAATAAACAAAACAAAGGTTGGGAGAAAGGAGGCAGCAGGGTGAGGAAGGAATGTAGAAAGGGAAGGAAAGAAGGAAACAAAGAAAGTGAACGAAAGAAGTGGAACAAAGGAATAAAGAGGGTAAGGGAGGGAGGGAGGGGGAGAGGAGGAAACAAAGAGGGAGGAGGGGTGAGTCAGTGGGGTCAGCACCAGAGTAATCTGGGGCACTGAGGACCACGTGGCTGTCACCATGGCAACCGTCTCCCTGTGCAGGTCAGAGAGAAGGAGGCCTCTGATTGGCTGCTGGTATCAGTAGAATAATAACAGTAGTAGTAGTACTACTGTTGTAGTGCAACAGTACTACTCTTGTACTACAAGAGTAGTACAAGAAGAGTACAAGAGTACAATAGTAGTACAATAATAGTAGTATAACAGTAGTAGTAGGAGCAGTACAACAGTAGTACAAGAGTAGTACCACTACAACAGTTGTAGTACAACAGTAGTTCAACAGTAGTACAATTCAGCTCAGTGAATCAGTTTATCTCTGTCGCCCTCCAATGGACAAACAGATATTACATTCTTGTTTGTATTTGTACTTTTCTTTTGGAAAGCAGTAATGTTACTTTTCCTGATGTACTTTTACTTTTACTAAATTATTTTTACTTCAGTATTACTTCAAGTATTCTTTATTTGAAGTATTTTTTATTTGAGGAATTTTTTATTTGAGGTATTTTAATTTGAAATACTTTTATTTGAAGTAATTTTTATTTGAAGTATTATTAATTTGAAGTATTTCTATTTTGAAGTATTTTTTATTTGAGGTGTTTTTATTTATTTGAAGTATTTTCATTTGGAGTCATTTTTAAGTGAAGTATTTTTAATTTGAAGTAATTTTACAGTATATTGAAGTACTTTTATTTGAAGTTAAACTCTGAGAACTTTACTCACCTGTCAATCGGTGCTGGTCCTCTCTGTGTGAACATGAGAGCTGCTGTCAGAGTGTGTGTGTGTGTGTGTGTGTGTGTGTGTGTGTGTGTGTGAGACTCGTGTTCTCTGGTGATGATAATTAACTGTAGTGACAGAAACTCACTGACACAGCGTCTTCAGAAACAAATCAGTTTATTCAGAGGAAACCACATAAGTTGGAGCTAACAGTCTCTGTGCTAAGCTAGGCTAATACACCTACCTCTGATCTGAAGACCTGATGACCCTACTGAGTCTAAACCTCCACAGAAAACATTAAACGAGTGAACAGACGAGGTGGAGACAGGAAACGGATGAAGGCATCGAGTTTCGACCGAGGAGGAAAAACATGGAGAGGTCAAAGTTCACAGGGCTGCAGGTCTGTGGTCTGCTCCTGTCATCGGTCCTCCTGGTCTCAGTAACAGCTCTGAGGACCCCCATCACCTGAAGGCTCTGTACCTGACTGACCCAACAACAAACACAAACTCACAAGATCCACCTGAGGCAGAAACCAGACCTGCAGAGCTCGGCTCCTCTGTGGCTCCTCAGGGTCTGACGCAGGTCAGAGTGACCACGGAGCAGTGCATCATGGGACTGTACGTGAGTTAAAGACGCATCAACAGAGCGTCATTTGAAGCCATGGAGGCTCTGTACTGCAGGTGTTCCAGCTGGGAGGTCAGTGACTCCTCAAGCTGGATGCTAGCCATTCACGGGGATCTGGACCCGCCGGGGCGGTACCTCCTGCTCGGCAGCAGCGGTCGGGACGTTAATGTTGGGGTCATCGTCGACCTGGTAACACTTCCCCAGGTTCTTGATGATGTTAAAGTTGGACCGGGCCGTTTCCACCAGGCTGTTCTCCAGGATCCAACCATCCGACTCTGAGTCCGGATCACCCAGCCGGAGGACGTTCTCCATGGCGGTCTGAAGGTAGCGGACTCCTGTTAGAACCAGCAGCTGAAGAGGCAAGAAGAAGGAGAGTGTTCAGGTCAACACCAACAGCAGAACATCAACAGCAGAGACCTGGTCTCGAGAACACAAGTTTGCCTTTCTACAACAGTCTGGGGGTGTGGGCTGTACCTCTGGACCTTTTCAGACCTGTTCAGTCCTGTTCAGACCCTGTTCTGACCCTGTTAAGTCTTGATTAGACCTGTTCAGACCCTGTTCAGACCCTGTTCAGTCCTGTTCAAGTCCTGTTCAGACCCTGTTCTGACCCTGTTCAGTCCTGTTCAAGTCCTGTTCAGACCTGTTCAGACCTGTTCAGTCCTGTTCAAGTCCTGTTCAGACCCTGTTCAGACCCTGTTCAGTCCTGTTCAAGTCCTGTTCAGACCTGTTCAGACCTGTTCAGTCCTGTTCAAGTCCTGTTCAGACCCTGTTCAGACCCTGTTCAGACCCTGTTCAGTCCTGTTCAGACCCTGTTCAGTCCTGTTCAAGTCCTGTTCAGACCCTGTTCAGACCCTGTTCAGACTCTGCTCAGACCTGTTCAGACCTATTCAAGTCCTGTTCAGACCCTGTTCAGACCCTGTTCAGTCCTGTTCAAGTCCTGTTCAAGTCCTGTTCAGACTCTGTTCAGACCTGTTCAGACCCTGTTCAGACTCTGTTCAGACCTGTTCAGACCTGTTCAGTCCTGTTCAAGTCCTGTTCAAGTCCTGTTCAGACTCTGTTCAGACCTGTTCAGACCCTGTTCAGACTCTGTTCAGACCTGTTCAGACCTGTTCAGACCTGAACAGGCCGAGGTGTATTGTGGGTAATGTAGGTGGTCTTTAACTGTCCAACATGTGTCCAGCAGTTATAGGAAAGAAAAGACAAATCTGTTGGGGCTCTTAAGATCTGGATCAGGACTGGGACTTGAAGGTCAGGAGGTGTAAATGACCAGAGTAGGACTGTGAATATGATTTATGTCGCTTTGGCCTCCTCTGTCACTGCTCTACTGACGGGGTCTGAGGACCACCCCCCACCCCCAGCCCTGTGCTGGCCTCAGACTGCAATACCTCAAACAGCCAAATGAGGAGCACGGTGAGGCCGATGGACTGCATTATGTCGGTGTAGTGGTCCAGCAGGGCTTGTCGGCAGCCCCTCCTCCACAGGTTCAGCTGCTGGCTCTGCCGGTCGTAGTTGAAGTGGGCGGAGCTGTTGCTAACCTGCTGCTGGATGCAAGGCCGAGGAGACAGGGTGCTGCAGCAGCTAAAGGGAACGCCGTCCATCAGGTAATTCCCCTCCACGTTACTCCTCAGACGGCTGTAAGGGAGGAGCAGGAGGAGGCTGTTAGGAACCGCTTCTACTACGAGTACTATTCCGCTTCTACTGCGAGTACTGCTACTACTACTACTAATACTACTGATACTGCTGTTGCTGTTACTACTACTGATACTACTACTATTACTACTAATACTACTACTACTACTGCTGTTACTACTACTGATATAACTGATACTACTAATACTACTACTACTACTGCTGTTACTACTACTGATACAACTGATACTACTAATACTACTGATACTACCACAGCTGTTAGTTTGTGTTTCAGTTTGCAGCTGGTCTTGCAGATCCAGAGTCAGAGGTGTCCTGGACTGGGTCTAAATCCTGCAGACAGGTTATATTGAGTCACTTGAACCTGAGTTGAACCCTGTTGTTAAACCTAATTAATCCTATGACCTTTGACCCCAGTAGCTCCCAGGTTTAGCTGCAGTGGACCAGTGGCCCTGATCTGAAAATAGTGACGTTTCCTTTAATGAATCAGATGTTAATAATGAACAATGAGGGGCTGGACTCAGGGATCTGGACTCAGGGATCTGGACTCAGGGATCTGGACCCACGGATCTGGACTCAGGGATCTTAAGATTTCCTCAAAACTGGATGAACCTACTTCAACTTGACACGTCGACTGTTTCAGGTTCAGTCTGAAGAACCCTGACAGTCTACTGAGACACACTGAGTCCACTACAGACCAGAGATCCACTTAAATTCTGTTGGACTTAATTCCGATCCAATAAAATCCAGTAGATTCCTCCAGATTCTAAAGGATCTGCCTACATCACTATAGATCTTCTAGGATTGACCAGGATCCACTAGAATCTGATGGATTCAGCAGATCTGGCTCTACTTACTCCACCACGGCGCTGCTGGTCATGTCCAGGTAACGGTTGCTGATCCACTGGACCTGGAACCAGTCCCGGTACCCGGTGTTCCCACAGCAGTGGAACTGGATCTGCAGCAGGTCCAGAGTCCTCTTCAGGTAGCAGCGGCCCGGCGTGTCCGTGTCCTTGTAGAACCGCATGGCATTCCTCAGGCCTAGGAACAGAGACTCCTCCAGCTGACTGCGGATGCTGTAGCACATGAGCGCCCCCACCAGGACGCAGGAGGTGAAGAAGAAGGTGCAGATGACGTACGGCATCATCACCAGCTTCCAGCGCAGGAACTTGTTGGTGTCAGCACAGTCCAGGCAAATCTTCCCGCCCAGGAAGTTGATGCAGCAGGCCGCCAGGCCTGTGGTGATCAGCATATGAGGCACATAGAGGATCCCCTGCTCTGACATCACTTCCTGCCATTTCTGAATCTCAATTTTGAGGAATAGGCCCAGGCCGAAGAGGAGAGCCCCCGTCACGACAGAGATCCAGTTGAGCAGCCAGAGGACCTCGGCTAGCTTCTCTCTCTCCGCCTTGGTGAAGGTCACCTTACCGACCGCCATGTCGGTCCGCCGGTCTTTACGTGTATCACGTCCAAGCACTGGCAAACATGGTCAAACACTGCAGTCCTTTAAAATGCAGTACCACTGACAACATGCATGAAGGATCTCTCTGGAGTCAGACGTGAAGTTCTCTACATAAATAAAAGGTCTGAGGTCGTTAATTATTGATCTGTGAATTTCATGGTCCTGATCTCTGACTCTCACAGCTCTGAAACCCAGGACTCCATGTTTTCATGGGTTCGTGTTTCACATGGAGAGGATGAATAATCTCTGAGTTCTCTGTGGGAAATTAAATGTCAACAACATGCATGTGTCGAGGGCACCGGAGCATCAGTCTGGGTCTGTCTCTGGGCTGATGGTCGACTCTGTTTCACCTGCGGTAAGAACCACTCGGTGACATTGTCAGTTGCTCATAGGGTCATTGTCCTGTTAAGTTGTAGTCCTCACATCCAGTCCATAGTGGTCTGAGAGGCTCAGGGGTCAAGGGTCAAGGGTCAGCGTGGGCCTGTCTTCAAAGGACAGCAGGAGAGAAGAGGAAGGAGAGGAGCTCTGCAGAGCGTCATAAGGAGCTTAGAGAGGTATTTCAGGTCGACTGCAGTCCACAGCTCCGGGACAACGCCACTGCAGGAAGGAAGAAGGTCAAATTTTAACAAGCTGCTGTTGATGATGCTTGTCATCAGAACGTGAAGCAGAGTCATAAGAGTCATGAACACCTCAATCCGAGTGAACCTGCTCATCCTAATGAACGTTCCTCATGTTCTCATCATGTTCTCATCATGTTCTCATCATGTTATCATCATGTAAACAACAACAACATGTAGGTTGTTGACAGTCACTGTTTCTGAGCTGCAGGTCAAACAGCAGCTGAGTCACACGTTCACCTGATCAAGTCTACCTGAGTCACACGTTCATTAACAGTCATTCAATCAAATCGACAGTTGCAGCTTCAGAGGACTTCAACTCAGTGACAGGAACTAACTGATGAACAGATGTTTACGAAGCTGAAGACAAACAACACATAGAATTTTACCTTGTGGACTTGAGGACATTTATCTCCAGCTGCTCGCCTGTATCCGCTCCGACCTCCCATCATCCTCGGCCGGGCGGTGTCCGGCCACAGTTTGAGCTGTGAAGCAGATATTGTGGCAGAGAAGAGAAGTTTTCAGGCGCCTGTTAACGTGCAATCCTGCGCTTTAATCTCCTTACAGCTAATCAGCCTTGTAATAAGCTGAGAAACCTCCAACCCCCCCCC